TATATATATATATATATATATATATATATATATATATATATATATATATATACATACATACACACACACCAAAGATGTGGAAACTAGAACGAGTCTAAAGCTAGGGGAAGAAACCAGCCTTAATTTTTTCCTTCATTTTCTCAAATCAGCATCTATTTTTCATGACTACCCATTTCATTTAGGTAGAAAATCATTGAAATTATAATTCTTCTATTTTTTTCCAACCATTCTTTTCCTTATTCATAATTTACAAATAAAGATTTAATTTTAGGCATGTGAAGGTAACCCTCCCTCTAATTCATTTATGATTGATAAATATTAATTGACCTTTTCTCACATCAACCTTTCTCAACTTCTCTGTAAGCCCATGCCATAAATAGGGTATATAACTCCTAACTTCATCTCAACCTTATATATACATCATCAATTTCAAGATCCAAAAGTCTAAAATCCTTGAACTCAAAAACAGTCAAAAGGAAATCAATATGGAACCACATTTCTTAGTTCTTATCCTTTATTTCCTTCTCTTTTTCATTGGTAAGTATTCTTTAACGCTCTCTCTCTATATATATAGTTCTTGTCTGCTCAATACTTATATATATGATCTTACATACAGGTGGAGATGCTGCAGTTTTCACATTAAAAAACAAATGCAATATGACTATATGGCCTGGAATTTTATCAGAAGGAGGTCATCCCTTACTAATGAATGGAGGTTTGCAGCTACAACCAAATGAGACTGCAGAAATCAAAGCACCTACTGGTTGGTCAGGTCGATTCTGGCCACGAAGCCAATGCAACTTTGACACCTCAAGTAAACACGAGTGACGATGACACCCTTTAGTAAGGGGTATCGAAATGATCACATGCGGAGCTAGGATTTCAACCTTATGGGTTCGGGATTATAATTCTTTTAAGTTACTGGATTTTAAATTAATAATTTATACATATTCATTAGATTTCTTAAATACAAATATATATATATATATATATATATATATATATACTAACTTTAGTGTACGTGAGTTGCACGTGTGTTTCACGTCATTCAGTATAAAATATATAAAATAAATAAATAAATTATTGTATACATTGAAACAATATCTTCTTAACATACAAAGATGATGAATATAGTTGAATTAGTTATATAATATAATATCTTGTGAAATAAGAAATAAATATGTCATGCTGTTGTATCTCGTCTAACATCTCTTTGGAATACAAGTAATACAAATTTCGACTATCAATTAGACCAATGGTAGTATTATATTACGTCACAATTTGTCAAAATTTTTATTTCATCAAAATATTATAAACATTAACTACTGGATATTTAACCTGATTGTTTATTCGGTAGATGTGTCACTACATTCCCAAATATATCTACTAAATAATATAATTTTTCATAAAACTTCAGTCACCTAATTAGGCCAGTCTTCAGGAAGTTGTTCTTTAAACAAATTTTCTTAGATCTTCATCCAATAATATTAATTAAATAGTTATTATTTTTCTTAAAAATATTAAAAGCTTGAAAAATTGAATAATAACTTAAATTTTTGAAAAGGAGATATAGTGCATTCCTAAAATCACCCTGCAAGGAAATAATAACATTTTTTTATTAATTATCAAATAATGAATACAAAAAATAATGAAGCTTTAAAATAAATGGTAACTTTTTCACAATTAATTTATCTTCAAGATTCTAACACAAATATTTTATGTAGAAAATTGAAGGTAAGCTACTTTTTATAACAAAAGATATTACAAATTTAAAATACTTGCTAAATATAAAAAATACGTGGTATATAGTAGAGAATTATATATTTAAAGAATTGATTTTTCTAATGTAGAGGAAGGTTTAGTAAACAATATTTATTACGACTATAGATTATAAGTAAGTATAATTAGTTTTCCATTTCCATGAAGAATAATAAATAAAACCTAATTTAATTTGTCAACATTCTAAAATAAATATTTTATGTAGAAAATAAATTATTTTTATATAACAAAGAGATTTAAAGATTTAAAATATGTTCTGATTTTTTCTCAGGTTGAGTCTTTTCCCCCCCTTGAAATCTATATGTCTATTTCTTACATGGTGGTAATATTTGCTTTTTGTAATCAAGATACATAGTATTCGATCATATAGACTTAGAATCTTTCTAACTTTGTATCAAAATTAAAAGACAACGAAAGTAATTATCTTGTCTAAAAGATATAACGTTGGTAAATAGAATACGGTTATATAGTTTATTTTAAATTCTTAAAAAAATTAGTTAATTTAAAGGTCCTAAATCTTAGGGAGATAATTAAATAACTTTTTTGTCTAGGGTGAACTCTAATTTTAAAAGGGTAAAGAAGACGAACACATTTCGCCAAGGGCTTTTGTGCTTTTAATATAGTATAAGTTTTTAAGTGTAAGATTTACATAAAATAAACTCTTAATA